TCATTTAAATACATGGAAGCTTGTTTCTGCCATGGAATAAAAAAAAAGTAAATGCATCTCACAGTTCTGAATAAAATACGAAATAATGGATCCAAAAATCAAACTTTTTTTTAAGGTCTCCAAATGATGAGACTAAATAGTGTTTAAAAACAGTCTGAGAGTGAGCACTGTAGTTCAAGACATCCCTCAGTGCAGGATGTAGGTCAGGAATGACACCCCCTCTTTCTCATGTTACATAATATTCGTTTTACACAGCTGGAAGACCCGGGCCCGTTAACCATGTAATGAGGCAGCAAAGTGCACATAAAGGCTGCTGATATTTAGAAAGCTTTAAGCCTCACTGACTTGCAGGTCAGGAATCATGCATTCAAGACAAGTGGAGGCTTAGCATTTAATTCTAATTATTTGATTCACGCCATCTAGGATTTAATGCTATTAATTATTCACATTCAGACTTTGCTAAAGCTCAAAGTGAATCTTCCATATCATGACCTATACTTTCTGACTGTGAAATGTCTGGTAAGCACTCTTTCCAGTGCATGAACAATTCGAAAAAGGGGAGACACGCCTGTTTTCAGGGGCTCTGCTGTTTTCTAGGGTATTACAATTGAGACATTTAGTATACTGGCTGGCCCTTTGCCTACCCCCCCTCTCTCTCTCTCTCTCTCTCTCTCTCTCTCTCTCTCTCTCTCTCTATTAGCTCTGCCTCTGCACTGGGAAGCCTCTCCGCCCTTATCCCCTCTCTTTCAGCAGCATTTCATTCTCTCCCTCCCTCCCTAAAAACACAGTCAAGCCAACTGCCGCAGGCAATAGAGGGTCAGTCAGAGGCCTTTAAGGGTACCTTGACTGCAGCGATAATCTTGCTAAGCCATAGAAAGCAGTTATTTTCCTACAGACCAAGTCTGGGAGGGTCTGTGTTCACACTGTGTGCCCATCCTCACCACAACTCTTTATGTGTGACTGACTGGCTGATACTGTGTACTGGATGAGGGCTGACGTCACTTCACATGTTTTTGACTCTGTAAATATTGCTTCCTGTAAGAAAGGAAAAAGAGCACTGTGGAAAACCATTGTCATGTAAAGTGTGGATGGAGGTCATGAATGTTTAGTGAAATATTAATTTGCAGAGAGTTTTCTTATTGAATATTGATGAAACATCACCATTTGTGTCAAGGAAAGAGCCGAATAAGTTTGTTTTGATTACAAATCATGTAAATGCAAAGGCAACCTGGGGCTAAAGGCCCTGGAACAGGAGTGTGACTGTGATAGTTTATTGGGTCAATAGGGCAAATTTCATCCAAATCCTTTAAGTGCATATTTAGCCTAAGTGAACACTTCAACAAATAGTGTACATTTAGAAAAAGTTCTTTATTTTGATATACATTGAGTATTTTCCAGATTGAAGGCAGTTACAGAAGAACTGTTGATTTAATCACTTTCTTTTTTCTGTGAATATCTGTGATCAGGTGCGTTCAAGTCATCCTGGGAAGTTGGTATTTTACGAGCTGGGAATTCGTAATTATGATGTCAGGTGTGTTCAAATCAATTTGTTTTGAGCAAGATGGCCATGTCCATTTTCTACAATAAAAGGAAGTTTTAACTCTACTTTTACTAAATGACGAACAAAGAATGTGCATCAACTGTGTTCAATTTAAAAAGATTCTGTAAACAATTGTTATATATTATACTATCATATTATTCACATATCACATTAATCAAATATATCATATTTTGTACCACGCACAAATAGTTTTATTGTCAATACATGTTTTTAATTTTACACATTCAATCATGCAGGAAATTAATTTTCACTTTAAAAACTGTACATTTAACAGTATTTTACAGTAAAATGACATGAAATTTACCATTAGATCTATCACAGTTGTTTTTTACCATATATAGTAAGGAACGGTTCTATTAACCAACTAACAGTTTTTCACTGTAGCATTTTTACAGTTTTTTACCATTTAAATCACGATAAAACTTGAAATTAGCATCAAATATCTTAAATTGTACGTTTCTGAAACTTTGACAGATTCTGACAGAAAGAGAGCGAGATGACAAAGGATACTGTGAATTGAATAGGAAAGGAAGCAAGAAGCCTGCAGAAGGTCTGTGACAGCTATGCCCTAAAAAGGAAATCCAGTCTGTAGGCATGATGGGAGGGGCGGAGAAATCCAGGAGCTTAGGCCAGGTAACCACAGACAGGTTTCCCTCTTGGAGCCAGTCCCAGCTAATTAGCTGCCACATTGCTTTACTTTATGACTGTTTGAATGCAGCTGGGGGAAGCCACAATCCCCTAATCTCGTTAGCCATCCCGTTTACTACAGGTAAGCACTACCCCATCCCACCTATGACTTCAACACGTGCCACGCTGCCTTAAAAGGCAATTGAAGGTTGACAGCAGGCAATTGGCAAAAAAAAAAATGGAAATCTTTAGGCCCATCCTGTTTTTTTTCCATCTCTCTCTCTTTCTTTCTTTATCTGTCTCTCCTTTTCCTCTCTTCTCTCTCATCCTGTGTTCCAAAGCGAAGTCAGTCTAGATATGACTAAAAATGGAGTTTGACCAGCTAGATCCACACATGAACATGAAGACTTCCAATGGATCTAATAAGCATATTAGATGATATTTCCATATAGCGGATGGAATATTTGGGCCAGTTCAAGGGAAGAGGAGGTTGAAATAATACATTTAAATATTTGTTTGAGTTCCCTGCGATTAATATCAGTGAGGAAAAAAAAACTTTCAAAGGGGAGCATTTCTTGTTTCCACTCTTCTTTACATATAGATACAGATCGAATAGAGATAGACAACCTCATACGCACACTTCATAATGTATAACCTGTCTTTGTTGCTTTCATTCTGTTCATAGGATGTTGTCTTTTTATATATTGTTCTACTATGTCTCGTTCTATGTAATAATAAAAACAAATTAATTAACTTTTTAGACCTTCAAAGTAAAGTACACATTTTATGTTGAGTGATACTTTGTTGTTGAAATACTTTGATTTGACACAGGATTTATTTCTCAGCACTTTGTATTCCCGACAAGGTAGCATTTTGTCCCTAAATAGTAAAGCACATCTCTTTCTCATCGTGGAAGAAGGCTGCAGTCAACTCTGCCAGTAGCACTTCCCCACAGATAGATGGCAGACTTCTTCCTTTAGAGCATTTATTCAATGATTCATCCCAAAATACACTCAAATTTGATGTATATTTCATTAACCATCAGTTTTGTATGCAAAGAGACTGGCTGTGTCTCGGATCTTCCCTTTGACCAAATATTGTTTCCCTGATGGGATGTGATGATAACACATATGGACTGGTGCCAGGTAAACGTGTGCCACGGAAAGCAGATTGCGGTTTGACTAATGAATGAGCGAATGTGTGTTTTTGGGAGCTGGACAGATGGGCAGTGGTAAGCAGGATCTCAGATCACAAAGACTTGGCTCAGCATGAGATGAGAGGGTGGTGTCTGCAGGCCACTTTTCTTTCACCAGCTTCAACCTACAGGCCTACAGCTGGCCGCTGGTCACCCCCACTACTCTCTGATACATGTGGAAAGCATGGGTGGGCTGCATGTGGGCTGGTTAGCTTTAGGACATCATATAGGCTTCTATTTTAACGTTTTGTTCATATTTTCATGCATATTTTACCATATAGTTGTTGTTTTTATTTATTTCTGAGAACTGTTTGAAGACACCCCTAATATAGAGAAAGGGATTTTGGCACAGTTTCACAGTAAACAATCAGCATCTGAAAAAATGTCTGCCAAAATGAACCTTGCAGATTGTTCTCTGATATCAGTATGTGTTTGGCCATCTGTGCCAGTTGTTAATGAAACATCACTCTGAACAGATGGTTCGTGTCCCCACATATAAACGATATGACACTTGACTGGCATCATTCAGTTTTATTCATGATAGAGAATTTAAACATTACAATGTTGAGAAGACAGCTTCAATAATTGTGGCAGTTTTAAATAAAATCTTTAGTTTAATTTCATTTCTAACAACTGGCCCAATACGTGTGGAGAAAGATAGCAAACAGCTGTGAATGGCCTAAAGAATTAGTCCCCACATGCGAGCAGAAGCTCTTTGTTGGACCAGAGCATATCATTAGCATCTAAAATACCTTATTTACCCTGTGGAGACAGAGAGCTGAGTGAGGACAGAGGGGGAGGGAAGCCAGCGGGAATCTTCAGACAAGCACATGATGTGAAGGCTTTGGTCACACCTCAAAAAGTAGATATGTCATTCATAGTCCTCATTCACAGCATGAATGGTTGATGTCATAGAGCTCGCTTGATATTGCCAAATTAACATGCAGTGAAACTGACTGAATGCATGCAGATATATTTAGATGTGTTATGCACAATATTTTATAAAGGTTATATACCAATTTAGTTTTCTTTTTTTTTTTTTTTTACATACAAAAACCCCAATAAGCACCACACTTTAAACATATAAATGGTGTTGCGTTAGATAATAATGCTTTAAATAAAATGGCATCTGCCACAAATGACTTTAGAGCTTTCCTTTGGACTATTTTTGTTACAAAGTAACTTAATCAACTGGTCTCAATGGGTATGAAGTTATTTCCCATCAAGTTTACACAGATGTCCTATAGCAGTTGCATTTTGTTTGTGTGTGTGACTTAAGTGCCCAAATACTTCTTGGGTCCTTGGTATTCAGGCACGTGGCCTGGCAGAAATTATAAGTGATGCAGTTGCACTAAAGGGTCGGTAGAGGGCACAGCAGAGCCCCAGTCAGCCATTAAATCCACATGACGCTGCACCCAAATGGAAACCATGTCAGTGTGACAACTGGTTCAGTTAGACATCGTGATTGCATTGCATTTTATTGTCAATAATGGAGCTTAGCCGAATAGTTATTTGTAATTTCTTCTTAATAATCACACATCATGAATTTATGTGTCTATGTCTATGTTTTGCCACCCTGACCTTGAGTTCATGATTGCACTATCATCTCTTTATCAGCAGCTTCGAGGACATGCATTCCAGCTGCTCAGATCCTGTTCTTCATCCTCCTGACACACTCTGCACATGAAGATCAATGGAGCCAAGGACAGCGTGTAAGGGGATCCAGGGCCAAGGAGGAGAGCTTGTGTTTTATTTGTTCGCAGCCCCGTTTGATTTGACCCTCTCCGGTTTCATTCATCCGGAAAATCTGCTGTGCGTGAGTGAAAACTGAGGGAGTGGGTCTCACTTGATACTCGGATGTAATAAGGAACTGCCAGTCATGTTAAAGGGATAATCCTCCCAGAAATTAAAATTCTGCCATCACTCATCCTCATCTTTCTTCTGTGGAGCATAAAAGAAGATATTTTGAGAAAAGTTTTTAAGTATTTTGACCATACAATGGAAGTCAGTGATCATTAAACTTGATAGGTTACCAGCATTCTTCAACATATCTTTATTTTATTCTCTGCAGAAGAAATACATTCTTAAATTATATGAAGGTGAGTAAATGATGAACCAATTTAATTTTGGGTTGAACTGTCCATTTAAAATAACAGCAGTTTTAGAAAAGTATTTGAATGTTTTGAAATATAGGCAAAGATTAAAAAAAAATGCATATCCTGTCAGTGATAGAAAAGTGTAATTGAACAGTATCTTTTTTAAGGTGCATGTGTATTGTTCTGATCTCAATGCATACACTTGAACATAGTTTCTCAGAAATTGCACAGAAATATCATATTATGGACAACAGAAAACATAGGATAAGGATGCAACAAGAAAAATATTTGGGGGTCGCTGAGTGCATTGCTCGTTTAGGCATGACAGAGATATGACTTTAATCCAGTATTTTGTAATTAACCTCCGGGCTTTCCTGTGTGCTCCTAATTACTCCACATAAACAATGTGGGATCAGTGCTAATCTGAAAGAGCCCATTCAGAGGCTTTCATGTGGGGCATCTAATGGGCTCTGCAGGCGGGGGAGTGCAGGCTGATCTGGAGGACGTGGTGGTGGTGTTGGGGAGGATTCACAGGAGGGAACCATTGACAGATCATCCACACTGGATACCAGGGCTGAGGACCTAAACTCAACCTGGTTTCCACTCTGAACCACTAAACCCACACAACAAATGCAGTGTCTGCTAGTCTTGATGCACGCTTACCGCTTAAGTAAATTGATCGTGTGACTCTCATACTGACGGTCAGATGTTCTTCATCCATTGAAGCTCAAGATGCTCTTTCCAATTTATCCCAAATCATGTTGGAGAACATCATCTTCAGATTTCACACAAACTCGTGCAGATCAAGTACTGAGGGACAATCCAAATAATAACACATTTGTTTGGCTATTTTGTAATGGAAAAGAAAAATTAATTAAATGATAACGATGCAAAATGGAAGCATGCTGTAAATCGAAGGGGCCCCAGACGTTTATGCATATTTGTGTGATTAAATTAAATACAGTAGACATCTCACTGTTTTCCTATTCTCTTTTGGTAATGATTTCACAGTTTTTTTCAGTATGTTTATTTGGACACAATGATCACCTTATCTCTCACACCATGGGATCTACATTATCTTTCTATTAGGAGTATGCAATCAGCAAGTCTCAAAAACAGCTGTGCTGATAAGAAAACCATTCATTAAATCGTAAGTGGATTTATTTGTTTATATAGTCCCAACAACCTGGATTAGGAATGTAACGGAAAACGATATCCTTCCTGAATGAATTTAAGAACGGCTAGGCTATAGTATAATATGTGAGAATGTACAAAACGTTAGTTTAAACAAACTTCTTTTCAAGAAATTGTAGAAAAAACAACAAATGTAGTTCAGTTTAACAATGTCCGCTATGTACAATATTATCCAGACATCACAGTCTCAGGCACAGCCCTTTTTGTGTGTCATGAAATTTAATTTACTGAAGTGGAGCAAGGTCGGGAAAGGCGATTATGATGCTCGACGTCCCCATAAAATGCCTGTGCTGAGTTGATATTGAGGAAGATTTGCATCTGCAGCCACCTTCCGGCGTGCTCGCGCATTTAGTTCATGCGGTCAGTGTCGCACACTGCAGTCACCCCTCCCCTCACTCTCTCCTCATCTCTGCAGCACGACCGCCTTTCCTCCTCCCTTGCTGCCCTGTCTCAGGGTCTGACTGACCTATATCTGCCTGCTCGGAGCGTAATCTAGCGCTGTCAGTCTCAGACTCGATCACGCCGCAATCAGGAGCCCCTGCTGCAGATGTAGGGCAGCCCCGTCAGTTATTCAGCACTTCGGTCAGAGGACTGCAGTCTGGGTGGAGGGGCTAGGCTAACCCACCGCTGCTGGAGTGACTGATGATGAATTAAACAGGACACTCACTCAGTCCCCGCCTCTCCCTTTGGAGAAGCTTTGCTTTTTTTCTGCCGGCTTTGCTGCTTTTGGCTCAGGCAGAGCAACCGTTTTCCTGCCGGCATGACAATGGCAGGAGGGAAAGAGGAGGCAAAGTGCTCTAGCAGACTTGGTGCCTCCACAAAAACAAGCATGTGACCTTTCACCCCAGCCTCTGGAGGGGTGGAGTGCTCCCCAGTGGTTTCGGGCATGCCTCTTTGTTGAGCAGTGGAGGCTGTGATGAAGGAGCTGCAGTTGGAAAGCCACTGTCACTAAACAAATCAGTACCATCCTTCACTTTTGAATATTAGGTGGCATTGTTTTTGACTGGTCTCACACTGTGAATTGTTTGCGACTTGGAGCATTTAATTAGATAAAGCTGATACATATAATTAGGGCAGTCATGCAGCTGTTTTGGGGTGTTCCAGTTGTTGCCAGCTGAGCCAATGCTCACTTGATTCCCTATAGGCAAGATAAAACATTATCTAAGCAATCAGATGTGTTAAGTATGACTATACTTCTGATAGTGTGGAGATCCAGACAGGAATTCAAATCCTAATAATACACTACTGTTCAATAGATTAAAGTCAGGAACTAGGGCTGTCAAACTATTAATCGCGATTAATCACATTCAAAATAAAAGTTTGTGTTTGCATAACATATGTGGGTGCACCGTGTAGGCTAATTATTTTATATATATATATATATATATATATATATATATATACACACACAAATGCTTGTATATATTTAATAAATATTTTCATGTATATACTGTATATAGATTTATATATAATTTATATTATATATAAATATAAATATTTTATATATACATAATATTTTTTTGTTAAATATACATGTGTGTGGATTGCGCACAGTGCACCCACATATGTTATGCAAACACAAAATTTTATTTTGGATGCGATTAATCGTGATTAATCATTTGACAGCCCTACCAGGAACATTTTATTGTTTTTTTCTTTTCTTTTCATTATTTTTAATATTATTTTGAAAAAGTCTAACTAAGGCTGCATGGGTTTGATCAGAAAAAAACAATATAAACACTAATAGCGTTACAGTATGAAACCATGTTTTCTATTTTAAAGTGTAATTGATTCCTGTGATGTCAAAGCTGAATTTTCAGCATCATTACATCATTACATAAAAATCATTCTAATATGATGATTTGATGCTCAAACATTTCTTATAATCAATGTTTTAAACAGTTGAGCTACTTAATATTTTTGTGGAAACTGATGCATTTTTTTCAGAATTCTTTGATGAATAGAAAGTTCGGAAGAGCAGCATTTATTTAAAATATGATTTTTTTTTACTGTCACTTTTGATTAATTTATTCCATCCTTGCTAAATAAGTGTTTGTTTTTTTACATAACTAAACCTAAACTTTTGAACAGTAGTGTTCAATAAAGTAGATTTAGTGGGTCGGGGGCAGTGAAGGTTACCCTTGTTCTCTCTTCCTGCTCCCCTCACCCCATCCCTGGACACCCTTTGCTTCTTCCGGTGCCCAAAACAATTTCATTCCACAGTCTCTGATCGCATGTGGATCATCAGAAAATCTGCCTTGTTATTATTAATATTATTTTGTGCATAGTACAAATAAAACCCTTTACACCTAATGGTGAATAGAAACATGAAAACATCTAGGTTTGTAAAACCATAACATAGCTTAATGTAATCAAGTTGCCTGTGCCAGATCATCATGTTGTATGTGTGAGCCAACAGCTTTCAATTGCTATCCCACAAAGAGCATCTCGCTTCATGTAGGTCAGTGAGTCAGTGCAAACTTTCCACAGCTCAGATCTGTGGGAAACAGGGCAGTCAGTGTTCAGTCAGATGAGAGGAGACGAGGAGTTGTGTGAGCCGAGAGGAAAAAGTGCTCTTTAAGCACTGCATTTGGGTCAGTGACCTTCTGATGTGTTTCTGTCTGATTTGCCTTGCTAAGTCACCTAACCTGAGCTGAGAGGAAGTGTGGCAGAAACACACGCCCATGCAGGAAACATCCCTTAACATCCTCTTAGATTCTTCCACTGTGGTTTGGTCCAAAAATAAGGGCTATTGAGCCCGAGGCTGACGTGCAACAAAGATCCACGGTACACGTGATTTTTCAGGATGCCTTTCAGTGTGTGTTCTAGTCTGATAAGTGACTGGCTATACAGTGAGCCCAGCCATATTTGGACAGATTTAGGAACAATTTAAACATGTATGAATGGGATTGCAATACAAAGTATCAAACCAAGTGGTATTTAAAAAGAAATACACTTTAAAAAATGATGGAAATAATATACTATAAAGGAATATATACGCAAATGCAAACTTAATGTAATGTTTTTGGACGCTTCATTTCATGTTAATTGCAATTAAATGAACATGTATTATAATATACACGTATATGAAATGAAAATAGGTGAAATTTGAGTGATTCTCCCCCCAAATTAAGTATTTTATATGTATTTTCTTAATTACTTACAAGCATTTATGGTAAACTAAAGTATTATCTGATGTTAATTTTTCCGTAGAAAATTGTATGTCATATTTAAATATTTCTGTATGCATTTTCTTAATATTAAAATATATTAATATATCAAATAACACTACAGTTAAAGTTAATCTGTACGTGTGCGTTAGCATGTTAGTCAACACTTCAAAATAAATGTACTTAAATCATGACAAGAGTGTTATAATGATTTAAAATGTACAAGATTTAACTTCTAAAAAAAGTGTACTTAAGTGTGTTAAGAAACAGTCGTGAAAAGAGCACTCAAGTGACCTTTATTTCATTAATAATACATTTTCTGCAAGTACAGTTTAGTAAAAATATTCTTTTAAGACTTAAATTACACTGCAAGTGGACATTCAATACAGCATGCACTTCTTTTTCATAGGGAGAGAGAACACAAACACACTTCCCAAGCAAGTTTTTATGATGAAATATTTGTTATTCAAAATTTGGACAAAAATCTATGTAAACATTTTTGGTGCTCAAACTTTGTGGAATATGTCCTTCACATGTATTTTTTGCGCCCACTGTAAATCATATTAACCATTTTGGATTATTGTTTCATGTTTTGTAGTAAAGGCACATTTGAGTTAATGTGCATATGCTGTGTTCATTGTAACACATTCACTATTATTAGAGCACATGCAAAGACAGAAGTGCACAGTAACAACTGTTTTGCTTACTTTGACGTCTCGTGCAGGCTCTAGTGCCCAGAAGCTAAACGCACTGCTGAAATTTGAAATTACTCATCATGGTGAACACAAAGAAGCTCTGTAATGCAGACTCTGATGGTTTCACTTAGAGGGAGGGGCTACATGAGGCTGTGTCTGATTGGCTGGGCTCCAGAGGGGTGTGAGTGTCAAGGATGTGAGTCCGCATCTGCTTAGAGAGCTGCCGTGTCGCATACTGATGCAGTACTGCAGCGTCAGGCACTGCACCTCTTCCTCGTCTTCTTCAAGTGAGACAGAGGCAAGACAAAATGTTTCAAAAGATTTCCATGTGCACATCTGCTGTTTGGAGAGAGAGAGTGGGTTGAATGTGAGTTTGTGTGCTGTTGCCATGCCGCGTGGCTTCAGGCATTTGCAAAGTCAGCCTCACATCAGCAGTCATGCCCACCCCGCTCTGCCGCTCTCAGCACACAAAAGACTCTGTCTGGATCAGAACATAATGCACAGCTGGGACACAGTCAGTGCTTAGTTGCTCTGCTTACTTAATATAGGCCTGTTTGTTTTTCTCAGTGTGCTTATTGAGGCTTTTGTTAAAGGAGTAGTTCACTTTTGAAAAAACTTTTGCTGATAATTTACTCACCCCCATGTCATCCAAGATGTCCATGTCTTTCTTTCTTCAGTCGAAAAGAAATTAAATTTTTCTCTATATAATGCACTATTTATTTAATAAATAAATAACAAAGTTTAAGTTTTATAAGCTCAAATGGTCGCCTTGCTCTGTACTGCGATGCACGTTCGTGACTCTCCTGTTCGAACTCGTTCATCAAAATGAACAAATCTTTTTCCAAATCATTTGGTTCATTCAACGAACGAAACGAACGAATTGACTCGGGAAAAAAGATTCGTT